AGAAAGAACACTAGTATCGTGAATAAAAGTTAGTTGAGGATGAAGCGTGTCCCCTCAGCGAGCGTTACTTGTTATAATATGAAAAATGCTTTTGCAGTTAATCACATTTTCAAATGACTTAAATGATCAGTGATCTGATCGATTGTTGTTTCTAATTCATCAATATCTGTAGTAGTATTTTTTTCTTTCATCAGTTGTCTATAAAGATTTCGTGCCTGTTCATAATAATATATTGCAAGTTCATATTTTTGTTTTTTCTCATAATTACATGCAAGAAGCACTATTGCTGCAGCTCTTTGTTCATTATACTTAAACATTCTTTGATATAAATACATTGCATTATAATAATACGCTATTCGATCAACGATATATTTGGATTCAAATAAAGACAATTCTGATTGACCAGCATCTTTATAAAGAATTTCAACAATATCAGATGCACGAATAAAAGCCTTTCCATAAAGATCATCAAATGATGAATTATTTTTATCATAATTTGTATTATCATTAGGTAGGTCAAGTAATGCTTCTACAAGATTGAATAGGTTAAGATGATCATATTTTTGAAAAATAATAGACGCATTCTTCTGCATATTTCTAGCCTGTAAAATTTGCCCTGATGATTCCATTGTATAGCTTGACATTAATAAAAGATAACCAACATGATAAACATAATGTTCGATTTCATCGTCAACGTCGATTGAAAAAGCTTTCTCATATGTATATAATGCGTCTTTTATATTGTCTTGAAGCATATACGTGTCGGCTAGCATCATATATGATCTTTTAAGAAGTAGATCATCATTTGAATGATATTTTTGTATTGTAATAAGACAATCTTTTAAAATTTTAATAGCAAGTGAAAGTTCACCTTTTGATTGATAGACTTCAGAAATACATAACAAGAGACGTAGGAAATTTGAATCACCAGGAAAAAAATTGTTTTCATAGATTATTTGAGCTTTTTTGTAACAAGAAAGGGCTCTCTCATAATCATTATTGGTGTAATAAATAAAGCCGATACCATGTAGAACGATAGCACTATGCGGATGTCCGTCTGGACTTATTTTTTCATAAATATCTGCAGCATGTGTATAATTGGTAAAAGCTTCGTCATAACGCTCTTTCTCTCGAAGAATATTGCCAATTATAGTCAAAGCATTTGCTATATCTAGATGGTTTTCCATAAGAAAGGTTCGTTTTATTTCCAACGCTTGTTGATACAATTCTAGAGCTTCTTCTGTATCATCTTCCAGATGAGAAATATTAGCTAGAAGATCAAGATTAACTGCGATCTCTACTGGAATTTTTAAGGAAACATTCTGATTAAGTAGAAGTGCTCGTCGAAAATATTTTAATGCATCTTCTTTCTTATTTTGCTCTTCTAAAATTTGTGCAATATTGGACAAGTGATTAATCCTAACTGGATGATCAGATGGAAGAGTCATGTCATAAATTGCTGTAGCATGAGAAAAATAATGTAATGCACGTTTACGATCACCTTTGGTTTTATAAATTCTGCCAAGGTGAGCTAAATCATATGCACTTTCAAAATGATCAGATGAGTAATAAGTTTCTCGTGTGTCATAAGCCGAATGAAAATAACTAATGGCTTGGACATATTTTCCTTTATTAAAATAACATCGACCAAAACAAGAGAGTATATTTGCAATATCATGATAATAAATCTTATTATGATCAAGTTCTGGAATGTCTTCATAAGTTTTTAAAGCCCGAGAAAGAGCACGAAGTACTTCATCATAATGACCTATTTCAAGCGAAATCTTACTAATATGAAGGAGAATGGAGATATTTTCAGTTGAGTTTTTCTTTTCCCATAGATCATGTGCACAACGATAATGGTCTGCAGCTTGATTATATAAACGTTGTGCTTGTAGGACATGACCAATATGTATTTGTAATTGCCAGTCTTCAATATCACTATCAAGTGTTTGTATTTTTTGAAAATATTCTAGAGCTTTATCATAATGTCCCATACCTGAAAGAAGATCACCCCATATAATACGAACATTTTTCTCTTTTAATTCAGCCTGAATAATTTCTAAATAACTTTTCGAAATTTTGTTTCCTTCATCTGTTGCTTTCAGCTTGATTAAAATAAAGTCTCCTTCTGGTTCGACAGAAATGATTTTAAAAACAGCTCCAATATCGATAAGAACTTCTTCTTCACTTTTATTTACACTATATTTGACAATATGTGCAAGAACAATTGTTTGAACTTCTTTTAAATCACATTCAATTTCGAATAAAACTGATTGATGTGTTTCATTGGATTTTCCAGCAAACATTAAAGCCACATCTTTTGATAAACTAGAAGATAAAAATCCATTCATTGATATAAGATTTCCTACATTTTGTTTTAATTGTTCACATTCATCTATAAGAATACGAGTCCCACGATAAAGTGTAACTTCTGGTTCA